AATATAACATTCTTTCAAATGCCGAGCAGATGACAGGATTTATCATGCAAAAAAAACCACTCTTGCTTCAAATTGGAAGAACTTGAAATCAAGTGTGGTAAATGTGGAGTAATTGGTTAGCAAATGTACATTTATCGGAAAGGGTTAATGACATAAAAATAACTAAACGGAACTGACATTGGGTCGGACAGATGTTAAGAAAGGATAAGGAAGATGTCACGAATCAAACTGTGTCCAGGACATCAGATAGGAAAGGCAAACGGGGGCCGGAGACTCTAAATTACCTGGGAAGGACTGCCCATGGTATGAGACCCAAATAGCGGCACAGGATTGGTGGAACTGGTGGAGTACTGAGGAGACCTTTTACATCACCAAAGGGATCTAAAAGGACCAACAGTGATGCATGACTTGGGTTTTGTCTGTGCCCTTAAAAGTGTTTGTCACCCGTTCATATTAAAAATTGAAAATATCATTATCGGCCGAAACAAGATATGACTAAACAAGACCTCAGGGATGTTCATTATGTTGCTGGCGTAGTTTCCTAATAGTTTACTTACTACTCTTGATAGTTAGCCCTCATGGAGACAGATATTTAAGGGGTGTATGGGATACACCGAATAACTTAAACTAAATTTCTGAACGTGGCGTATTTCATGTCGATTCAAGTCGTTTGGTCAGGGATAGCAGTAACTGACCCAGAGGAGTGGTGAGATGCTCTGAGAAGGGTAAATGTACTACGATTCACGAACTATATGGATGAAATATACCCTCAAGGTGTTCAGTGAAGAGAAACCCTTTGAGATAATAACTGTCTAGGGTTGAAAAATATTTTTCAAGATTCTTGAACTGTGAATTACCTTGTTCAAGAGTTCATTCAAAGTGAAAATAAATAGAAGTTAGATTTTATTTGAAGATGTATCATACCAAGACAACCATATCTAGTTGACATAAATGCTCCAATAGCCCCTCTGCCATGAGGGCCTTATCAGAAGGGGGGGTGCTCGTTCAAAATTCTTAACTGTAACATATACAAACCAAAGATTATACACTTCCTTGATAGTGAAAACCTACCATATATAAAATGATTCAAACTTCATAATTACATATACCCATAACGTCATCAAGCCTAAATGAATAGCAGTTCTGCGCTATAACCGCGTCCATGGAGCTATGACAAGTTTTTTTGAATAGTTTTTCCTTACTGAGAGGAGGAAGATGGAGGGTTTTTGTTTAGATAAAGGGAATATCGAAACTCGTAGTCTTTTGGG